TTTAACTTTAGATGGTATGGTATTCCTGGTAGAATGTCAAGGTTAATCATAAAGGAAAAGAAATAAGAGGGTATGATTTCCAAAGTAGTAGAGTAGAAGAGGACAGAATAAGTAAACTCAATCAATCTAAAAAAGGCTAGAAAGGAAAGAGAGAGAAAAACATAAATAACCAAGACTATCAGAAAGCACAAAGGAGGAAAATCCAATTGTGATTAACAATAAACGCAGAGTATACAAATTCAAAAGATAGGAGATCCTAGAAAACAAAGATACTGACAGAATGAAAGCAAAAATAAGGAAAAGAACACAGCAGACAAATAAGGAAAAGAACACAAACAAAAAGAAAGCCAAATTAGTTATAATTGCAGACAAAACAGCATTATTAAGGAGACAAGGAAAATGTTCAATTCAGGAAAAGTGGATATCAAACTCTAAATTTGCATGCTTAAAAAAAATGCCTAACTTTGCATTCTCTCTCTCTTTCTCCCAACATGGCAGCCTCAGTAAAAAAGAAGAGTAAGAAGGGGACATCTATCTCCCTAACAGACTCCTTAACTGAGTATGATAGTACTGGTGGAGAAGGATGTATGTCCCCAAACCAGTTAGCTGAAATGATGAATCAGAGGGCCTGGAAGGAGATGTTTCAACCACTTGGCACAGCAATGATGACAATATTGACAACTTGTATGGGGCACCTCCAAATGACCACTGCATCCTGCCTGCTATTCCACAGGCTGTTTGAGAATCCAGTAACAACCAGAGCTACTTCCCAAATTGCCACTACACACTGCTTTTCTAGGGAACCTGACTTGTGATGTGATAAAAAGCTCCATTAAGGAACTCTTTAGAGGATTAAATATCAGTGCATTTACCACATGAACCCAGCAACCCAGAGAGGTTGAAAGGTTTGATTATGCTAAATTTGAGGACCTGGATTTCCTATTCAGTGCCCTGAGCCTCAATGAGTAGTCTCTTGGTAACAAAAGGAGTGGTTGTTGCTATTAGGCATGGGATAAAAGAAAGAGATGATTGTTCCTTTGGCTGAGATAGAAATCTAGATTGTGACAAAACAGACTAGAAAGTCCATCCTGCCATAAACAGCTTTGTTGACTATCCATCCACCTCGAAGAGGTGACGGTAACTTTGAAGACAGATAGCATGATCATTATAGAGACCAGGACTGCTAAAATGACTGAGGAGCAGAGACTAAGATAGAGGCTATGACCCCAAGAAAAGCATTTAGTAGTGGGTTCTACAGGAATAATACAGACCACTATGGTGGGACAATAGGGTTGTGGAGCTCCAAAGATTATTGTTGGAATGATTATAGGTGTGATGATAGACACACACCCCCCCCTCCAAAGATCCAAATCGAATCCAAAGCCTCAGAGTACTCTTAAGAAAGATGACTCTTCTGTTTGGCTCCTCCCAGTCCAGTTGCACAGCTTCTATCTTTGGAAGCACAGAGCCTGTTGATCTGGCTGCAAGAGAACATGCAGTAAAAGAGAGCTAAAGAAGGAACAAGAGGAATTGCAATGTCAGCTAGACGAACCAAAACTAGAACAGCCTCAGGAAGACACCTAAACTGGCAAAGTGAAGGACCTCAGTAACAAGAATGGTCAAGGACAGGAAGTGAGTCACCTATCAGAAGTAAGTTAAGGAACAAAATAAGAATATGGCATATAATAAAAAAATTAATAATTTGGTTTAGGCAGGAGTATTCTCTAGTTTAGAGAAAAATTATCTATCAGAATTCAGATAGTAGAGGCCTTGCAATTGATGTTACTCTCTGGAGTATTTTATGAAATACAGAAGTTATTGCAATCGTAATAAGAAGTAAACTTGGGAGTCTAAGACCTCAGTTGGTTCCCATTATTACAGAAGGAGCTTAATCTTCTGATCTGTTTTCCTTACTGATAATCATAGTGGATAATTTATGTACAACTACCATGAGATCAGTAGATTGTGAATTTTAAGGCTTTTTTATTTTTTAAAATGTAGATTGACACAAATGACAGAGACAAAAGCAAGAACAAAAGAATGGAAAGAAAGACATATTATTCTGGTGCGATTTTGCACTGGTCAAAAGTTCAGTAGTTTCCAAAGAACATCGCGTTATCTCAAAGGAGAGCAGTAACTGATGTTCAAAATGATAAATATTGTCATTGACATTTTCTTGGTCTTGCTCCCTGGGGGCGGGCTGCAAGTCCATTTTTCCATTGCTTTAGACTTTGGTGAATCACCTGATAGGCCTTTCGATAAGTTCTTTTTCAGCTAATATCAGCGCGATCAGGTTTTTCTTATTCATGAGAACTCTTAATGAAGGTAGGTCGAACACAAGAGCAGTACCTATTCAGGTATGTGGCACAGGTCAACACAAGTTTAACTTGAACTAAAAATGTCGACTTAAGCTTGTATTAGAGAAAGCGAAATAGAGAGTAGACGAATTAGATAATGTGGTTTCTTGAGTGGAGTACACATCAGAATCATCTGGAAATGCTTTGCAATTATACAGGCCATGCTCCAGAAAACAAAACGATAGTGTCCCTTATCACTTCAACTCACTCATGAGAGAAAGTGCTATTGAATACAATCCACTAGTACCGATTTCAGTTAATCTAATTGGTCAACATCCAAAGCCTGATAAATTATTTCCGTTAAGGTATGGGAAATAGGACACTCTCATATATAGATGGTAGAAATTAAAATGGTCAGCCCTATGGAGAGGAACTGGCAATTAACTGCAAAGTTTGCATGGTTACTCTTTTGACCCGCAATTCTATCTAAGTGATAATAAGCAAAATTAAGGAAAATGACATTTGCATGAAGCTAATTTGTTGCAGGCACTTATTTGGTAATTAGTGAACAGTAGAACTCCAAATGTCCATGCAAGTGGGAGACTAGTTTAACTTGTGTTACATCTATTCGAACAGTAGGTAACTATGCAAAATATAAAGGAAAATCGTGTTATGAGAATGAACTCATGACTAATACTGAGGTGAAAAAAAGCAAGAGTGCAAAAGTATGTAAAATACTGGGGGAGTCAGGAGGAGAGATATGATAAGGATACACGTACATTCTCTTGTTATACTTTTAAAGAAGCAACAGGCTAAGATAAGCCAAATCAATCAAACTATTAACCTATAGGGCAAGGGGGGAAGGTGGGAAGAATTGGACCTAGTAGGCAGGACCTTTTATAATGTACTCAGTTTTTTACCCAGAATAACTGATAATGTTTATATGGCTAACTAACAAAATTAAATTTTTATTAAAAACTAAAAACAAAGAACCTAACTGTATTCCAAATTTGGTGGATAACCAAATGGAATTATCTAAGTTACTTTGAAATGTGGTATTCTGTGTATTATCCTAAAGGCGGAAAAAACAAAGAAATCTTAAATTGCAATGAGGGAACTTATTTTCTGTTGTAATTTGTTGTTATTTTGAACTATTCTTTGTAAGTGATTAGGGATAAAACAGATTTATACGGTTACTGTCATTTCGAATCAGATTTTGGGGTTAAGAAAAGAGCATATAAATATAAAATCAGATTAATAAAACACTGTTTTCCTTTTGTGAAAATGGTATTTACCAGTCAGTTCGTGTATTCGTTGGGATAACCAGCATGGAACTAAGGATTTGTTTTTTTCTTCATAAGCATACACATTCCTAGCTCTTGTTACTAGAAAATCCAAACACAATTACCTCACAGTATATGACAGTCCAGCAGGAATTACAGGGTACTATGTAATCCACCCTAAAAAATTGAGCCAATAATTGAAAAAATGGGCTAAATGGAAGAAAGACATGAAGGCCTTCAGCATCCTGGCTCCATGCTCATCAGTCATTTAAAACGCAGAGTCATGCACTCTATTCAAAAACTCAATTCTCCCACCACTAAAGAGGATGATCTCCTTTTCCAACATAGTTCGTATTAAAGCAGTTACTTAAAATAAATACAACTTTCAAGAGAGCCATCAAAACCTTGTGAGGCCTAGCTGACACAAAGTAACACCATTAGTTCATTAAAAGAAATGATAATTATGGAATGAGTCTGCTGATTAGGAATTCAGAAGAAAGTTTTATCACAATCACCATATAATTATAAAAATAACTTACCAGTTACCTGTAACTGTAACCTTCACACGTGGTTATACTAGTATCAGACCTTTGGTGAAGCGAGTGCCAATGTCCAAAAATCAAGCTGAAACACCATAAAAATTTAACGAATTTATTCATCTTATAGCACAAGAGATTATAATTTTCAAGATGGATTAAATTGTTTGAATTTGACTAAAGAAAACACACTCATTTTCAATCACATACATGTTTGAGAAGTTTCAAGTTGTCCTCCATTAAAATTAAGATTAATATTATTAGCAATATTGAAGAAAATGGCCAATAAGGAACATTATTGAGTCAATCTGAGACCCATATGATATAATATACTTAAAGCAAATAATGTAACATACAATGAGCATTAATGAGCAAATAAATAGATAATATACTAAAAAATCCATGGTTACATGTTGTTTTTTTAAATAAAAAAATATATCAATTAATACATATTATAAGCTTACTATATATATATTATCTGACACCATTGAGTGTGTTGCCCTTTACTTGCAGTGTACATTTTTCCTAAGAATAAAAAATATTCTGCTTAATTACAACCAGTACAATGATGTAATTCAGGACTTACAGAACATTATCTAATCTACGAATCATATTTCTATTTTGCATCAACGTGTCCCCAATCCCCTTATCAAAGTACTTTAGAATATAGTAACTATATTAGGTATATATAATTGGTGATTAGTTTATGTCCCAGGTTATGATGAGTGTTACCTGTTTTACGATAATTTTTCTCAAGGTTCTAGTGAAATCGCCTCTCCTGCTCCAGTGATTTGTTGATTTTCTAATAAAATACAAAGCAGAGCCACTTCAGCAGTTTCTTTTGCCATGACGAACATATCAAGGCATCAAATTCTAGTTCTGATTTCTCCACATCCTCACCCATCATTTGAATTTAATACTAAACTGCATCAAGGTCAAGAGGAAAGTGTTTTCAGATTCAACAGGCCTATTAACACCCCTGCCAGGTAGTATTAATAACTTATCTTCTAGAAATTATATAACAGTGGTACTTTTTTAAAAAAGACTTTAATGTTTTACCCAGAAAGTTGGTTTCCAAAAAGAAAAAGAAGTATTTGCTTTTTCAAATAAAAACTTTAAAATCAAAATGTCATTATAAAAGTTAATCATAACCCTTTCTATAAAGAAAGTGAATTTTAAGTCTAATTTACCTGAGGTGTGAAAAAACTAGCTTAGGCTAAATATTTGAATTCAAAGAGGGGACTACATACTTTCAGGGCATAATACTGACTATCAAGCCATAACAACTTATCAAGATCCCCTATATAATCAATTACCCATCAACAACCTGGGTCTGAGATAAGGAAAAGGAAAGCCTCCTCCATGTTACATGCATCAAATGTTAAGGATATGAAAACAAATAAAGCTATGTAAGCTTCCATTCTTTTATGAGAGCATAGTAATCCAAATAAATAGTCACACAAATAAATCACTGAAATACAATGTGATAAATGCTTCAGCAGAGGTAAAGTGCTTGAAATATAGTAGTCCTCAATTAATATTTAAGGAATAACAAAAGAGATTCAAAGCAAATACCATATTTTAGTACTGTCAACATAAAGCAATCAGGAAATATTCAATGTTATGTCTGAAGTGCTATCAGGGTCTTAGCAAAACTCACTTCCATCCTTCACTGTTCCAAGCTCCTCTACGCTCAACACCACTGGACTAATATAGAAGGCCCAGATTTGCTCTCTCCCAAGATACTCCCCAACCAAGATTCTTTACTCCGAATGAAAGTGCCACTGCCTCGGTATATGCAGATCTTATCCATATGCTAGAAGACTGGAAGAAAAAGAGGGCAGGATATGATGGTGTTAAAAGCACAGGATTGGATATATCTGGGTTATTTTACTGTGCTACTTACTAGAAGCCTGACCATAAATAAGTCAATTAACCTCTCTGTACCTCAATTTTATCATCTGAAAATTAGCGGAACAATAATCCTCGATTCTTTGGATGAAGGAAAGCATGCAAAGCTCTATCACCATCAACGAATGCCTGGCACCCAACAATGGTGAATATTACTCTACTATTATTACTGACTGTACAGTATTAACTCTTTAGAGTTAACTGCAGATCCATTCAAAATGCATCCATTGTATACCTTTAATTGGCAAAATGCTCAATAATGCTAGAAGTTGGCAAGGTAAGAAAAGAGACTTTTAAAAGATAAACTTTGATTTCAAGAAGAATTTGTAATATTCTGGTAAAAATGTGCATATAATAACCATAACATTACAATTTTAAATAACTAGGAAGACAATCTAATAATTCAAATAGTTGTTCTAATTTATAGAATACATAGATTTTACTTTCCCATTTAGTAAGTTTCCATTGGTGTTAGACATAGACTGTCCTCTACTGTAAGGTTATAAAAATATTTTTTAAAACCATAACAATTAATAATAAAAAATAAGAAACTATCAGGAAGAGAGTCGGGGGTTTAATTTAAAAATCTCACTCACAATAACATCCCCACCCCCAAATCTAGTAATAAACTTAAGAAATGTATATGATGTATATGAAGATAACTAACTATAAAACTTTACTGATGGACATAAAAAACTTTAATGAGAAAGACATAATATATTCCTAGATCTAGAAATGTTAATGCTGAAATATTTCAATTATCTCCAATTTAATACATTATTTTTAAATAAAAATACCAACTGATTGGTTTTAAGTACTTTTAGTGGGGGCAGAGGAAAAGAGAAGACTAAAAGTCAAATAAAAGGCAAAGAAAATTACAGAATAGTGAAAGCATATTTTTCAATGCAAAATTTCTCTCAGTCTTTTTTTTAAGTACTATAAAGTGAAAATAATTAAAATATTCTAACAGTGATGTAAGAGAGGTAAAGAGAATAGAGCAAGATGTTAGTATATAATGGTGGCATTTCAAATCAATGGGAAAAGACAAATTGTTCCATCAATGTTGAAATATTTGAAAATAAAGTTAAGTCTATACTTTATACCACTCATACAGAAGTTAAGTCACATATGATTTAAAATTTTTACTTTAAAAAGTAAAATTACCAAGGTACCACAAGAAACAATAGCTAAAAAATTATAAATGTGAATATAACAGCCCATTCATTTTTCCATCTTACATTTTTTAATACATCCTGCCCACTATGCTTCTGACTCTTTCCTGGTAAAAGTTTTAAATTTAAAATACTAAAGCCAACACACTACTATTATGCTTATGTACACAGTATACTACTGTATATTACCATATTACAGTAGGTAGTTTTCTGTTTGATTTTTTTCCATCATAGTTTTTCTGCTTTCTATAATCAATGTTCTTATTCTTATTTGTTGCTGCCAATCAGAAGTAAGTTAAGAACAAAAATAAGAATATGCTAATAATAAAAATAAATTAATAATTTGGTTTAGGACAGAGTATCTCAGTTTAGAGAAAAATATCTATCAGACTTCAATAGTAGAGGGGCCTTAATGATGGTACTCTCTGAGTATTTTAAAAATACATAAGTTATTGCAATCTAATAAAAGAAATAACAACTTGGGAGTCCTAAGACCTCAGTTGGTTTCCCATTATTAACAGAAGGAACTTAATCCTTCTGATCCTGTTTCCTTACTGATAAATCAGTAGTGATATTTATTGTACAAACTACCATGAGATCAGTAAGATTGTGAATTTTAAGGTGCTTTTTATTTTTAAAAATTAGATTGACAAAATGACAGAAGACAAAAGCAAGAACAAAAGAATGGAAAAGAAAGACACTATATTCTGGTGCCATTTGGCACTGGTCAAAGTTCAGTATTTCCAAAGAACATCGCTGTATCTCAAAGGAGAGCAGTAACTGATGTTCAAAATGATAAATATTGTCATGACATTTTCTTGGCTACTTAGACTCCCTTGGTGCAAGTCCATTTTCCAATTGGTTCTTTAGACTTCTGGTGAATCACCTGATAGCCTTTCGATAAGTTCTTTTTCAGCTCAAATCAGCCAGATCAGGTTTTTCTTATTCCAACTGAGAACTCTTATGCATAGGTCAACACAAAGAGCAAAGTTACTATTTAGGTATGTTGGCCACAGGTCCTACACAAGTTACACTGAACTAAAAATGTGGCTCCAAGCCTCTTATATAGAGCAAAAGCAGAAATAGAAGTAGAAGGAATTATATAAGTGGTTCTTGAGTGGAGTACACATCAGAATCATCTGGAGAACTGCTTTGCAATATACATGCCCATGACTCACAGAAAACAAAACGCAAATGTCCCTTATCATTCAACCTCACTCATGAGAGAAATGCTATTAACAATCACACTAATATACCACTTCAGTATCTAATTGTCAACAATCCAAAGCCTGATAATATATTTCCGTTAAGGTATGGGAAAATAGGCACTCTCATATATAGATGGTAGAAATAAAAATGGTACAGCCCCTATGGAGAGGAACTTGGCAATAACTGGCAAAGTTTGCATGTTTACTCTTTGACCCAGCAATCTCCTAATCTAATGATACATAAGCAAAAATAAGAAATGACATTTGCATGAAGCTATTTGTTGCAGCACTATTTGTAATAGTGAACAGTGGAACTCCAATGTCCATCAATGGGAGACTAGTTAACTTTTGTACATCTATTCAACAGAGTACTATGCAACAATATAAAGGAAAATCTTGTTATGAAATGAACTCCATGATAATACTGTTAAGTGAAAAAAAGCAAAGTGCAAAAAAGTATGTAAAAACTGGGGAGTCAGGAGGAGAGATATGATAAATACACTATATATCTCTGCTTATACTTTTAAAAAGCAACAGATAAGATAAACCAAATCAAATCAAACTGTTAACCTACAGGCCAAGGGAGGGAAGTGGGAAGAATGGGACCTAGTAGGCAGACCTCTCTAAATGTACCTCAGTTTTTACTCTAGAATAATATAAATGTTTTATATGGCTATATAACAAAATTAAATTTTTTATAAAACTGAAAACAATGAACCTAACTGATTACCAAATTGGTGGCATAACCAAATGGAGAATTACTCTAAGTTACTTTGAAATGTGGTATTCTGGTTATATATCCTAAAGGCGGAAAAACAAAGAAATCTTAAATTGCAATGAGGGAACCTATTGTTTCTGTTTTAATTTGTTGTTATTTTGAAACTATTCTTTGTAAGTGTATTAGGATAAAACAGATATTATTACGTTAGTGTCATTTCGAATCAAGATTTTGGGGTTAAGAGAAAAGAGATATAAATATAAAATCAAATTAAATAAAACACTGTTTTCCTTTTAGTGAAAATGGTATTTACAGTCAGTTACTATTTTCAGTTGGGGATAACAGCATGAACTAAGGATTTGTTTTTTTTCTTCCTAAGACAATACACATTTCCTAGCTCTGTTCACTAGAAACTCCTAAACACAATTAACCTCACAGTAATGACAGCCACAGGAATTACAGTACTATGTAATCCCACTTAACAAGTATTGGCCCAATAATTGAAAAAATGGCTAAATGGAAGAAAGAAAGAAGGCCTTCAGCATCCTGCTCCAGCCTATCAGTCATTTAAAAACCAAGTCAATGACACTTATTCAAAAACTCAAATTCTCCCACCACTAAAGAGGATGTATCTCTCTTTGTCCAACATAGGTTCAATAAACAGTTACTAAATAAATAACACTTTCAGAGAGCATCAACCTTTGAGGCCTACTGCAACAAATATACCATAGAATTCATCTAAAAGAAATGATACTTATGGAATGAGTCTGCTGAATTAGGTATTCAGAAGAAAGTTTTATCACAAAATCACCATATTAATTATAAAAATAACTTACCAGTTACCTGTAACTGTAACCTTCCACTGTGGTTATTACTAGTATCAGACCTTGGTGAAGCAGTGGCCATGTCCCAAAATTCAGCTAAAACCTATAAAAAATTTAATTTATTCATCTTTTAGCACAAGAGATTATAATTTTCAAGATGATTAAAATTGTTTGAATTGACTAAGAAAACACACTCATTTTCAATCCACTACATGTTGAGAAGTTTCAAGTTGTCCTCCATTTAAAATTAAGACTTAATATTATTAGCAATATTGAAGAATATGGCCAATAAAACATATGAGTCAATCTGAGCAACCAAATGATAATATACTAAATGCAAATAATGATAACATACAATGAGCATTAATGAGCAAATAAATAATAATATACTAAAAATCCATGGTCACATGTTGTTTTTTTAAATAAAAAAATATATCAATTAATACAGTTATTATATTATATATATATTATCTGAACACCATCTGAGTGTGTTGCCCCTTTACTTGAGTGTACATTTTCCTAAGAATAAAAATATTCTCTTATATTACCACAGTACAATGATGAATTCAGGAATTTTACTAGAACATTATCTAATCTACAATCCATATTCTATTTTCATCAACTGTCCCACAATGCCCCTTATCAAAGTACTTTAAATATAGTAACTACTCTAGGTATATATATTGTATTAGTTATGTCCCCAGTAAATCTTGCATGTTCCTTTTTACAGATAATTTTTCTCAAGTTCTACTAAACATTCCCTCCTGCTCCAATTTTTATTTTCTAAATAAAATACAAAGCAGAGCCACTTCAGTTTTCTTCTGCATGACAAACATATCAAGGCTCAAATTCTATCTACCCTTAACCTCCTAAAGAAAAAGTAGAACATTCTGAGCAAGACTGAAAAATAGTAATGAATGTTAATGTTTATCTTGTTTATGCTTCTATTTATAGTCTTTTTTGTTTCATTTAGGTCCTTCCCACTTAATACTCTAAAATCATTATACTCTCTTCACCTACTTATAATTGCATATATTGTGTTTGAATGTATATGTACAAAAAGATAAGATAAACAGTTGCTTACTACATGATTAACTGATTCTAGTTAACATATATTCACAAGTTCTAAGACTTCATTCAAGCCAAAGAAATTCACACTTGAACACACAACAGTTCAAACTACAGAACACCAAAAACAGAGGCCATGTTAAAAGCAGCTAGAGACAAGAGAGATTACACACAAAAGAAGAGAGTAAAATAATAGCAGGATTCTCCACAGCAACAATGAAAATATAAAAGGTAGAAAAAATAAAGGACTGAGATGATTAAAAATTGTGTAACCACCAAAACTCTTTGGGGAACACGGAAAGCATTAAGACTTTGCCAGATAAACAAAAAAAAGAGTTTATCAACAGCAGATCTTTACTTCAAGAAAATCTAAAGGATTTGTCTCATAGGAGTAAAATTACCACAGAAGGATGAAATGAGATGCAAGAAGGGAAGATAAGTGAAGAAACTGCTAAGCATACAAGCAGATCTAAATACATATTGGATGAATAAAATAACAGTAACAACATATTATTATGGTGCTTAAATAAAAACCCTATAAACTAAGGAAAGCATAGAAGTATAAGGGTGGGGCAGAGAGGAAGAAGATAGGAATTAATGTTTTAAATCCTTGCATTGTTTGGCAGAGAGATTATGATCTGGTTTAACTTTAGATGGTATGGTATTCCTGGTAGAATGTCAAGGTTAATCATAAAGGAAAAGAAATAAGAGGGTATGATTTCCAAAGTAGTAGAGTAGAAGAGGACAGAATAAGTAAACTCAATCAATCTAAAAAAGGCTAGAAAGGAAAGAGAGAGAAAAACATAAATAACCAAGACTATCAGAAAGCACAAAGGAGGAAAATCCAATTGTGATTAACAATAAACGCAGAGTATACAAATTCAAAAGATAGGAGATCCTAGAAAACAAAGATACTGACAGAATGAAAGCAAAAATAAGGAAAAGAACACAGCAGACAAATAAGGAAAAGAACACAAACAAAAAGAAAGCCAAATTAGTTATAATTGCAGACAAAACAGCATTATTAAGGAGACAAGGAAAATGTTCAATTCAGGAAAAGTGGATATCAAACTCTAAATTTGCATGCTTAAAAAAAATGCCTAACTTTGCATTCTCTCTCTCTTTCTCCCAACATGGCAGCCTCAGTAAAAAAGAAGAGTAAGAAGGGGACATCTATCTCCCTAACAGACTCCTTAACTGAGTATGATAGTACTGGTGGAGAAGGATGTATGTCCCCAAACCAGTTAGCTGAAATGATGAATCAGAGGGCCTGGAAGGAGATGTTTCAACCACTTGGCACAGCAATGATGACAATATTGACAACTTGTATGGGGCACCTCCAAATGACCACTGCATCCTGCCTGCTATTCCACAGGCTGTTTGAGAATCCAGTAACAACCAGAGCTACTTCCCAAATTGCCACTACACACTGCTTTTCTAGGGAACCTGACTTGTGATGTGATAAAAAGCTCCATTAAGGAACTCTTTAGAGGATTAAATATCAGTGCATTTACCACATGAACCCAGCAACCCAGAGAGGTTGAAAGGTTTGATTATGCTAAATTTGAGGACCTGGATTTCCTATTCAGTGCCCTGAGCCTCAATGAGTAGTCTCTTGGTAACAAAAGGAGTGGTTGTTGCTATTAGGCATGGGATAAAAGAAAGAGATGATTGTTCCTTTGGCTGAGATAGAAATCTAGATTGTGACAAAACAGACTAGAAAGTCCATCCTGCCATAAACAGCTTTGTTGACTATCCATCCACCTCGAAGAGGTGACGGTAACTTTGAAGACAGATAGCATGATCATTATAGAGACCAGGACTGCTAAAATGACTGAGGAGCAGAGACTAAGATAGAGGCTATGACCCCAAGAAAAGCATTTAGTAGTGGGTTCTACAGGAATAATACAGACCACTATGGTGGGACAATAGGGTTGTGGAGCTCCAAAGATTATTGTTGGAATGATTATAGGTGTGATGATAGACACACCCCCCCCCTCCAAAGATCCGAATCGAATCCAAAGCCTCAGAGTACTCTTAAGAAAGATGACTCTTCTGTTTGGCTCCTCCCAGTCCAGTTGCACAGCTTCTATCTTTGGAAGCACAGAGCCTGTTGATCTGGCTGCAAGAGAACATGCAGTAAAAGAGAGCTAAAGAAGGAACAAGAGGAATTGCAATGTCAGCTAGACGAACCAAAACTAGAACAGCCTCAGGAAGACACCTAAACTGGCAAAGTGAAGGACCTCAGTAACAAGAATGGTCAAGGACAGGAAGTGAGTCACCTCATTTATGGACATCAGCCACTTGTGTCAGAGTTAGACTAGGATGCATGAAGGAGAGAAAGAAGTCTCTGGAAAATGAAACACTCAGTAAGGCAGAAGACTGTCACTAACATATAAGCCTCCCAAACTGATCATCTGCTAAAGGTAATGCTGGCCCTCCACAAAAGAGAATGGTTGGGTGAAGCAAAGTGTTAACCCTGCTTGATCTCAGAGCTCAGACATAGAGCAGCAATCCCCTACAAGAGATGGGAGGAAAGCAGCTCCAGATCAATCATCTCAGGAAGAATCAGCAAGATGAAAATAAACAGGTGAGGGTCCCAAAAAGGGAAAACAGAAACTTCAGTATGGTCTAGGCGTTGGAGAGAACAACAAGCCAATGGAAGGAGGCTGGCAGGAAGGATGGAAAAAAGGATCAGGACTCCAGATTTGCACCTGAGCTAAAGAAACCTAAAGAAAATCCAGCCTTCTAGCTTAGTACTGTAAATATGCTGCTCTGTCAGTTGATGGTGACAGGGAAGAAGACACCAAATAAACATTTACATCTTGTGCTTTCTTCTAGTTTGTCTCTACTCTGGGACATTCAGAGTAATCAAATCTCTATCCAGACAAGCCAAATACAACTCACCAGCTACTTGGGGTGGGGAGCTTAAAAAGACTGTAAGACTATATATAGGAAGAAACTGACAAATTGGCCACTGTTGTGGGCAATTTCAACACATCCCAATTAATCATAGGTCAAGTGGACCAAAAAAATAATAATAATGAATAAGCATGACTGATTAACATAACCTGAACCTCATATCCCACTATTAGAACATAAATGTTTTTCTCAAGCACTCATGGGACATACAAAAAACCAATATACACACTGAGAGATAATGAAAATCCCATAGAATTTCAAGTAATGTTCTGAGTGTCTGACCATAATACAATTAAGTTAAAAATCAATAACAAAGGGTAAATTTTAAAAATACCAACAGAATTTAAAAAAACACTTCTAAATATTTCATGGGTTAGAAGAAACTACACTGTAAAATTTTTTAAAATACTAAAAACAAAATGATAAAATACCACATATAAAAATTTGTGGGATACAGAAAAATTTCCACTTAGAGGCAAATCTATAGCCTTATAGGAAAAGAAATGTGGAAAATTGATGAGTTAATAGGTTAACCTATCAAGTTATGAAAGAGAATAACAAAATAAACCCAAAGAAAGAAAAAGAAAGAAGATAATAAAGAACAGACCCTAATGAAGTAGAAAAAAGATAACAGAAAGGATCAACAAAGTCAGAAGCTAGTTCTTACAAAACAATAAAATAAATGCCTGGCAAGACTAATGAAGGGAAGAAAATGAAACAAAATAGCAAGCCATAATATAGACCAGTAAATACAAGCAACTGCCCATGGAACAGATGCGGCAATGCAGATCCATGAGAAAGGAGGGACAATCAAATGGTTCTGGAATTATCTATATGGAAAAATAATGAAACTGGACCCCCTACTTCACATCATATACAAAACCAATACAAGAGGACTAATGATGTAAATATGAAAGGGAAACCTTAAAACTTTTAGAAGAAATTACAGCAGAAAACTATTATTTTGTGTCCTCCCAGGATGGAAGGATTTCTTAAATGAAAGACAAAGCATACTACTCAAATAAGAAAGATCAGCAAATATTTTTGACTACATCGAAACTGAAAACTTCTATTTATCATATAACATCATAAAAAAAATTTAAGAAAAGCCACAAACTGGGATATATTTCAAAATAAAAAAACTAATTGAAGGTTAGTATTTAAACTACTATGTAAGAACGTCTATAAATAATAAGAAAAAGACAACAGTAGGCAAATGGACAAAAACCTTAATTGGAATTTTATATACAAGAAACTCTTAAAGCCAACAAATATATATGAAAAGATGTAGAAACTCACTGCCCACTAGAAAAATACAACTTCAAACCACATGAGATATTATTTTAAAACTCATTAGAATGGTAAAAACCAACATTTTTATAGCAGATGACGGCAAAAAACAAGCAACAGTGGTGGCTCTTATACACTGCGGGGAGGTGTTTAAAATGGTAAAATCCTGCTGGAAAACAAGCTGGAATCATCAATGTAAAGCTGAACATTTACAGGCCCTTCAATAAGCAATTCTCAATTTTAGAACATAAAAAGAATGCATAGAAGGCACAGAAATAAATATGGGAAAGTGTCAGTGATTCACCAAGTAGGATTTCTGAAGCCTATGATGGAAAAGAAGGGAAAGGCGTAGCTTTCACACAGATGGCATTTAGTCTTCCAAGAAAAAGACACTTCTTCCTCTGGGCAGTAAATGAGGGACCTAAGGATAAGTGAAGCTATTGATTCACTTGGAGGTAGATTAAAAAACAAAAAAATCAAGGCACTTTATCAGTGAATTAAACAGCAAGACAATTGCTGAGAATAAAGGCAACTGGTATAAGATTAGTTTTTTTGAGAAGAATCTTTAGTTTAAAACACTATGAAGACTAGGAAATGCTGCCAACCAGTTAAAAGTCTATTCAGTCTACTACATGAAACTCTCTCTGTACCCTGATTCCCACCCCTAATTTATTTCTCTCTGTTCTGTGTAAACCCTTCTACATCAACCAATCCTCAGACTCAAAAACACATGTTCTGGTAACCAGTAACTGCATATGTAAACTGCAAAACATGATAGAGATGGTTCAAAAATGATACCATCTTGCCTTAAAAGGGAAGATACACAGCAAATAAAATTATCAATTTCAATATACACTTAGTCCCCACACTTCATTTAATAACATAAAGCTGTGTGGCACTTAAAATACAATGTACTGTTACACATCTATTCTTTAATCTGAGCATTACACAATAATACTGTGTGAGTAGGGAGGTACTATGTCCATCTTAGAGACGTGACATTGAGCCTCAGAAGTGTTAGAAGTCTACAGCCATATTTTTATGACATATTAGTTGGTCTGTATAGATGTAATTAACTATCAACATGTACATTTGACTATTAAGTACAGTCTTAGTTTAAAAATATTGTTAATCACTTACAATGTATCAGGAACTGAGCTAGACACTGGGGATACAAAGATGAGTAAGACACGATTCCCTCTTTCAAGGAGCTCATAGTCTGGTGAGGAGACAACCCTGAAAACAAATAAATAGCTTTCAGTGTGATAATTACTAAAATAGATGCAAAATGTAAAGCAGTACATCTGGGGCACACAAGAAAAAGTAGATAACCCAACCTACAGGGATCAGGAAAAGGTTCACAGAGAAGATAACCTTTGAGTGAAATGCATCTTGAAGTCTAATTCTTCAAGAAAGACTTACAGAGAGAAAATATGGCACTTACAGAGAATTGTTGCCATGGCTGGAAAATGGAACATGGGGACAGCGTGAGGTGATAAGGCCAACAGGCAAACAGAAGTTTAAACTGTATAGGATCTGATGGAATAGTTTATATGGTATTCTAAATATACCACACATAGTACTTTAAAGTTTATCCTGAAGAGAACTGATAGATACTAAAGGGTTTCAATAATGAAAATTGCATTTTGGAAAAATAACTCTGGCAGCCATGGGGGTCTGATTTAAGACAGTGAGCTTATCTGAATTAAAGCATCAGTAGTATGAAGGGGAAAAAAACCTCAGGATACATATAAGACCTTTGACCAGATGATTATAGGACACCTGTGGGTGATAAGAAAAAAGAATCTGAACAACTAAAATTCCCCACTTCACCATCTGGGTGGATGATGGCACCATAATCAGGATACGGAAAAGAAGATTAAGACTATTTGAATTTCATTTCTAATTCTGCCACTTAAGAGCTGTATGACAAAGTTAACTTTTCCATAGCTCATTTTCTGTTATCAGTAGAACATGAAAAGCAAAACCATCTACCTCATGTTACAATGAGCATTAAATGGCATAATACACATAAAATGCTTAGCCCTTTGAGTACACAGCATAAAGTGATCATTTAATAAAGACTAGTTATTCTTATTGTTGGAGGAGGTTGGAAATAAGAGTTGCATTTTGGACATGTTGTTCAAAAGAAAGATTTTAACAACTAGGTATAATAGACAGCTAGTTTAAAAAGTATGCAGTTCAAGAAAAAGGTCTATGGAGGAGATATATTTTGGAGTCACAGTTTATACAGTTGGTATTAAATCCATAGAAGACAATGGGCTTAATCACAAAGGAGATATTTTGGAATAAATGCTGAATGGAATGACAGAGGGTGCTGATCAACTTCTGCTGGGCAGTATTAATATTGTGCTTATCACAAACCCACGGAGACAACAATCTGCATGATGGTATAACTTTTTCCAGTTTTCCTTGGTCCCAGGATATAAGCACAGGGAAGAACTGTAGAATCAATTCATGTTCAAGAATTTAGAAAACGGGTACAGCAAAAGAAAAACCAAAATCTCCATTTTAATAAACTTTAAAACAAATTATTCATTCATCCAAATGAATTTAGGTCATAACCTAAATTTAGGTCACAACCTAAATTCATTTGGGCAATTTTATCTAAGCTGATTATGTTCAATTCAATCCTTTAAAAATGCCACAGGACTGCATAAAGGTTCATTATTATTCAACTGCAAAGAACAGAAGAGAGCCCTGAATGTAGATAATAAACTGCATTTCCAATATTGAGGTTATAGATTTATCAAATCCTCATTTAGAAAGTATATCCTCATTGCCTCCTTACTTCAAAATGTCATTCTTAAGTCAGAAGCAAAAAGACACAGGGTCTCGCTCTGTTGCTGGGCCTAGAGTGCAGTGGCGTCATCATAGCTCACTGCAACCTCACAATCCTAGGCTCAAGAGATCCTCCTGCCTCAGCCTCCTGAGTAGCTGGGACTATGGGCACATACCACCATGCCCAGGTAAGTTTTGTATTTTTTGTAGAGATGGGATCTCACTATGATGCTCAGGATGGTCTCAGACTCTTGGCTCCCAAAATGCTAGGATTATAAGTGTTAGCCACCGTGCCTGGCCAGAAGCAAAATTTTTTTGAAAACAACCATCTAATCAGAATAAATATGATTCATTCTGCATACTCTGCAAAGTGTCACAGCTTTGAAAAGCCAAAGAAATACTGTCACATATCTGCCTGGATCAATTAATAAACATACTTATTGGCTGCCTAGTCTGTAGAGGGAGCATGGCAAGGATACAAAAACGGTAGAACACAAAATTCCAGCTTCAATGCTGAGTCTAGTTTTGAAGACAATATTAACACGCAGGGAACAACTCAGTAACAAGACAGAATGGTGCATATCAGAGTAGTTTAGTCCAATGAATGTGGAACCTTAAAGGTTAAAAAGCCTGCATTTAGGCAAAGCTATTGCATCAACAACACAAACTTTAAAACTCAATGAATGTGACAAAGGTAAAAAGAGATGAACCAAGAAGTCTCTCTCCTCCTAATACATGTAAGATTCAGCAACTCTAACACATAAAATAAGTATTTCATGAAAATGTAAACTACAAAATAGAGGACTTAATTTTTAAAAATATAGGCAGCCAGGCGCATGTAATCCCAGCACTTTGGGAGGCTGAGGTGGGAAGATCACTTGAGCCCAGGACTTCAAGGCTGCAGTGAGCTACAATAACGCCACTGCACTCCAGCCAGGGTGAAGGGAGAGACTCTGTCTCTAAAAATAAAATAAAATAAACAAACAAACAATATAGCAATACTACTTCTATATAGAGAGATCACTTATAAAAAGATACTGCTGGTCACTTCAATGAATTTATAAAATGTGATAGTAAACAGAAAGGTGACCAACTAACCACTCATCCTTTCAGACAAAATATGTTTCATACAAACTTTGAGGCGGCAAAATGTACAGGGTATTCTTGTCTGTACAGGATGAAAATTCCTTCCCCCTAAAGTAATAAGTAATTAATAATAGACATTGGACAGACGAGTAGAGGCTAGACTGGCAGTAACCATGACACACCAAAGTACAGGCTAGTCCAGAAGATCAAATATCAAAGATATTTCTAGTCTGAGCTGACAGAAGTGTTGGTTTTGCTCTTTTCCAAGTCAGAGATTAGCAACTTAAAAAATTACATTTCCTCCAAACTTAACGTAAAACCCTAAACATCTAGGAATGTTATAAGAAATGCAAGTCAAATTCTGTCAATACTAAACTCTCACAGACTTTTAGTGTCTGGTAGTGAACCAATTCTTTGGGGGCGGGGAGGACTAACAAACCACTGAAAAGAGAAAACTGTCACTTACTGGAGTCTAGTTTGAATTTGGATTTGAATTTCTACTCCCACATTTACTAAAGGACAGCATAACAGTAGTTAACACCAAATTCTGCAGCCAAACTCCCTGGGTCCAAAACCTGGCTCTAACTGACAATGTTTGACTTCCAGTAACGTCCTTTACCTCAGTGCCTCAGTTTTTACATCTATAGGAATGGTAATATTAGGTTGTTAAGTATGAAATGTCTGATTTCCTTAAGTACTCAGTTTGGTATCTCTGACATTTCACTTCTTGGTTTTTGTGGGGGTTTTTTTGTTTTTAATTTTATTGTGAAGGGACATCCTCATTCTTTCACACGCACATTTTGGCTTGTAATTATTTTTCAAACACCTTTTTTCACAGCAATTTTTGTGAAACCATAGGTAAGTCAAAAATTCATGTTATTTTTTTAATGTGAGTTCCCTCACGGAACCAATGCAATGCTGATGGCTCAAAATATCAACAAAATATTTGGGAAAGATGTAGCTAATGAACCTATAGTACGTTAATGGTTTGAGAAGAGTTCCATTCTGGTGATTTTAATCTTCAAAATGAGCCATGTGGGTGACCTGAGACCAAGGCGGAGAATGTGCTGAAAGCTATAGTAGAAACAAATCCATCTCACCCTACGCATGAATTAGCAGCAAGGTTTGACATTACTATCCAACAATACTGGACCATTTGAAACAAATCAGCAAGGTAAAGAAGCTGAATAGATGGGTACCACATTAACTAAACCAGTGTCACAAGAGAAATCATCTCAAAGCTTGCCTTTCTATACTGTCAAGGCATAAAAGTGAAACATTTCTAAGCTATATTATGTGTGATGAAAAATGAATTCTTTTTGACAATTGCAAACATTCAGCACAATGGCTGGATATCGATGAAGTGCTGAAACACAGTCCAAAACCCAACATTCAACAAAAAAAAACTAATGCTATCTGTTTGGTGGTCCAGTGTTGGTATCATCGACTACAGCTTCATGAAACCTGGTCAACTGATTCCAGCGAATGTCTACTGCAACCAATTGGGTGAAATGATGAGGATGCTTGCAATTAAGCAGCCAAGATTGGTCAATAGAGACAGACCAATCCTCTTGTAAGACCACGTCACATAAAAACAGTACTGCTGAAACCACAGAAGCTAGACTTGGAAACTCTCTGTCATCTACCATATTCACCAGACCTTGCACCAACTGCCTACCCCTTCTTCCAGGCTTTGGACCACTTCTTGCAAGGAAGAATATTCAATTCTCAACAAGCTGTGGAAAACGCCTTAACGATTTCATCACCACTCGCTCTCCATGCTTCACTGCTGCTAGCATAAGCAAGCTACCATTAAGATGGCAAAACTGTGTCAATAGTTCAAGCACATACTTTGATTAATTGTACTGCTTCTCGTATGAAATATAATAAACACACATTTGATTAGAAATCAGATATTTCATATATAATAACCTAATAGTAACTATCTTTTAGGGTTAAGAGAATTAAATGAGATAATATTGACAAAGCACTATAAAGCTGTCTGGCACAAAATTAGTGCTTAATAAAATCAACAAGGATCTTGGACGAGTAATTTAACCCTTTTCAGTAGCAGATGCCTTGTTAAACAAAAATTATGGGAGGCCATTGAACTCTTATACTAGTAACTAAAAGAACAGACCCAAACCAAAATGGAATAACTCAAGCTAAATGCCACATGATCAAATTGAAACATTAAGGAAGTAGATTCCCAAAACAGACTAGTGTTCCTTGAAAACAGGAGACTCAAGTCTACCTAAGTTTGTATAATAATAAAGTCCTCTCTGCTTTAACAAAAAAAGTAACCTGAAGTAAGCTGATACTAACCAATCTCTTTTTTTCTATTGTTC